TTCTATTTTTTCCTCAGTATGATCGTCTACTGGAATGTATTTCAGCTTATAAATATTGTGTTAGCTGAATCTCGCCCTCGCCGATTTCTCGAATTACGCAAAAATTTCTTCCCAGAAGACTTTTCGCGATTGGATGTAGCGGTAATGAAACCTCCACGAATGGAAATGGCAGATGAACGTCAGTCATTCATGAAAGTCTTGGAAAAATTCGAAGTGGGTTTGCTACAGATCACATACATTTGAGAGCAAAATATAATTTGAAGTTTGGATTTCTAACAAATTTACATCAATTAGAGAACTTCGACTGGAAAAAAAGTTGGAGCTTGTAAGCAATTTAAAAAATTTTATGAAAAATTTAAAAGTTTGAATTACAAACCTAATCAAGGAGCCTTCTCTTGCAAAGTACCGTGATCTCTAATTAGTAACTTTCGTTTTTCTTCAGAACACGCCCTGCTCAGCTGGTCGAAACAGCACTGAATTTTGGTTTTTCTCATTCAAAACCTACGTACAAAACCTGGGATTTGGAGATGCTTGGAAGAACATAGAGGAAGATGAAAGCGTATGATTCGAAACCTTTAACAATAAGCCTTCTTTTGAAATTGAGAATTTTTAGAGTTTTTCCGAAAATTTGCATGGTTTCCTTATGGCAAACGACAAATTTTCCTATGATATACTAAAGGACTCAAATGGTAGCACGAAGGCGTTTAGATTTACTACCAGATTGAAAAATGTTTCTACCGATGAGCTCATCTACCATTGCGCTAACAAGATGAGGTTGGAGGGTTTAAAATTTTGCTTCCTTACTTTCTCAAGCAATATTTGCAGGAGCTTATGTGATGAGAGTGCCCAATATGGGCTAAGTACCTATACCCCGCTATGGAATCTTGCTGATCAGTATGAGATTATGTGGCCACAGACGATCCAAGATCTCTACATATCAGTTGGTGTGTTAGATTCGCTGATTTCTTGCTTCATCAGCTTATTCTGTCGATTTCAGCTGTGATGCTGTGCGTAGCGATGCTGTTCATCCCACAACCACTTTGTGCTCCTCTGATCGGTTTATCAATTGCTTCAGTGGCCCTTGGAGTGCTGGGAATCATGCCTTTCATAGGCGTCAATCTGGATGCGACGTCAATGATAACCATAGCTATGAGTGTTGGCTTCTCTGTTGGTAAGTGCTCTTCAAAGCAGAATTTATGACTGTCTTTCTGCTCTAGGCGTGCAAATATGGCTCGTCAGTTTCATCAAGCTGCAAATTATTCATTCGTAATAGATAGCAAGTCGTCTTTGTGCTCAGAAACAAAATATGTTGAGAAAATTAGCAATTTTTGCCACTCAGATGACTAAATGTAAATTCTATTTTGATTTTGCTAATTCAACTAAACTATTATGGCGCTAACTCAGTTTGGCTCTAGATATCATTTCTATGGAACAAAAGCAGTCTTAACATTAAAAATGTACGTAGTTTCTTTACAAAGTAAAAAAGAAATCCAAGGGCACCTAGGATGATCTTATCAGAAAAGTGTTGAGTATTCTTGGCCTTTAAGTGGGAAGTTGCTCGTGACTTTTACCGTAAAAATCATTTCACATAGATTTCTCTATATCTAAGTAATTTTTATTGTAGCTACATAGTTATAAATGTCTTTGGCTCTTTTCGATTATTCGTCTACGCTGTCCCATTGCAGCCTAATTTTAGATTACTCAGTATACGTTGAAAAATAAACAAAATTTGTTGGGAGCTATTTAATATAATATAAGGTGAGATTGAAAATTTATTCCAGACTTTGCCGCTCATGTTTCTTATGCCTT